GTTCGACAACCGGGTGCAACTATTTTGCTAAAACTTCCGTTACTCACTGCATGCCCGAATTCATCAATCACCCCGCCATCGAGTTGCCGATCAATGTCCACTATTCGTGGCAGGACAGCTGTGTCCATCTTGCGAGATCCGGCCTGGGGATCAGAAGGCCACTGAAGCATGTCATAGACGTCGTCCGTCACGATGAGAGCATCGTATTGCCGAGCCAGGCGAACCAAACCCCGCCGATGAGCTAGACTCATAATTCGACCTGAAGGATTGGCAAAGGTCGGGACCGCATAAATAATATGTTTATATATCTTCCTCCATGGTTTCGGTGATTTGATTCGAGGTGAGGTGTTGTTGTCGGCCCGTGCCCGCTTCTCACTTTCTTGAAGACCTCGCTCCAGGTATTCGAGGTTGATACCTTCAGCATCCTCGGGCACAGCTCTTAACTTGTTGTCGAAACCAGAATCGTTAAAGATTCTGCAGGCCAAATAATATGTCGGGGCCACCATCCACACATTTCGAGTATAAATCGGGTCCGTGAAAGTCTGCAAAATACACGCTAGGTTCTGGCTGGCACCGCCACTGATACATATCCTCTCGCTTGAGAATGTCTCGCTCGGTCCGTAGAAATTATTGAGCCATTTTGCAATTTCCTCCCTCAGAGGCTGATAGCCTTCGTCCGGCCCATAAAACAACACATCCGAATTGGACGGATTGGATAGTATATGCGCGGAAGCCTGATCCAGCTGACGGGGCGGCAGGAGACTGGGATGTGGCCAGCCCTTGAGCAGATCAATATGCCTGTTCCTCGGCACCTGGCGAGAACCCATGTGGGAACTGGCCCTGAGGGTCATATTGGACACTATCGACATGGCGTGTGCCTGAAAAGTAGGGATTAGTGATGACGACTCTTCCTCATGGATTTCTGGCCTCAATCTGATAATATCCGCAGTCAATATATGTTCCAAGATAAGTATACATACATGGTCCCTGAACACGCCCACCAGCCTTTGACGGTCAGCAGGAAGGGATCAGAGTTTTCCCTCGCTGCTTGAGGCCTGCGATCCTGTCATCATGGTTTTAATCCCCCCTTCTTCTTGTCTTTATTGGCATCGAGGCCTGTCGCTAGGCCCGAGTTTAGCGGCAGTTTAAGCATCGCCTGCAGTGGATGGTCCCTTGATCTAGGCGACAACAGGCAAGAGCTGCCACTTAAAACTGGGGATGTCGACGTCAATGACAGAGTCTGAAAAGTGCGGGTGACGCAGGCACAAAGTGTCTGATCAGCAAAGGCAGTGGGAGGGCGGATGGCAACTTGCGATGGGCGCAGTTGTTGAATTCCAACCTCGACACGCCGCGCAGGCATCTCCAACAGACACCAAGAGACAACCTCATCCTTGTCCCTTCTCGCGCCCAGTCTCCATCTATCAGCTCATTCTCACTGCCGCTAGTATCACCACCCTCCTCATTACTTGTGATTATTATTTGCCTCACCCATCCACGGCCACTCCACCATACAGGAGATACACGCGGCACGTCCCAGCCGAATGTCATCCCCTGCAAAACCCTTTTCCGGGGCGGTAGGACATGCATGACCTGCTGCCGTACCTTTTCAACTCTCTGGCCCTCCTAGATCCTCGAACACCCTTCCCGTCACCCTCTTGAACATGGTGACACGACAGCACACTGAGCCGTATTTAGCAACATCAAGAGCTAAGCCATCCTTCACAGGCGCAAGTGAACTGGGGCCATGACGGCTTCTCGCTAAAAGAGCTGAATAACACTACAATCATTCGCTAGATTGGAAGAGGAGAGACTGTATTCAATCTCTTGAAGAATCTGCTTCTTATTTAAGAGCCCAATAGATCATAATGGCAAAACGACTATCATCCTTATTTTCTCTCTCGCGCGATGCCGCCGACAAGACCGGTGCTGAGCCACCTGCGACTGCGACTTCTCACGTACCGCCTCAGTCGTCTGGCCACTCGATATCCCATAAACTGCACAAACATCGCATCACCTCCTCTTCCGAGATCGATCTCAATGACGGCTTGCCTCCACTTGCTCCCCCTCCTCTTCTCTCCGAGTCTGGGGCAGTGCGCCCCCCAAGCAGTCATCTTAGCGGACCCGACAGCATACCTGGGAGTAGAAATAGCAGTCCGCATAGTCTTGCGCAGAGCAGGGAGACCAGTAGGAGCCGGCCTCAGACCCCCAACTTGCTAATACCACCAGGCGCGGCCGGCTCCCAAGGTCACCCTGCGACGCCCCCTTCGGCAAAAATGGCAAAGAAGAAGAGCCGGCTCCATGGAAAATCAGACAGACATAAATTGGATGACGGGCAAGGGACGTCGCAGGCGTGGATTGCGGGATTGCGGGAACATGTGGCGTACGACCTAGCGCCGCTATTGAAGGGCGAGAGGGTCCCTGAACTTTGGAATGATCGTGGTGATACAGTGATATATCTTTATCCCCCATCTTCAGGGAAAGGCCCCTGTTTTCGTGTTGACTCGGCTCTCTTGGCCGACTCGAGGTCACTGGTCAACCTCCGCATGCAGTCTCCGACCTCCCCAGTCGATAGAAACAGTGACGTCCCTCAAATGCAGACCGCATTCTCAGAAATGGCCATGAGTTCAAGACAGATACGCCCTCCTCCTCAGGAGAGCTCAATCTACCGCCCAATGAACTTTTCAGTACCCAGCATTATCACCTCACTTAGCCAGGAGAAGCATGTCTATCTGCCTCTAGGATTCGAGGCAGATGTATCTCAACCGGGATCAGAGCTGCACGGAGATGATCTCGAACTTGTGGTCCTGTATCGCAATTTCTTTGCTTTCCTCACTGGCGGCGCATTGATCGCAACTCCCAGACAGGTGACCTTGTTTTCCATTTTCATGGGAATAAGCAGCATTCTCAAGAGGTTTTCCTTCAGCAATATCGACGGGTCTACATGGGGGGATGTTCCATATAACAGTTTCTCGCGATACTGTGACGAACTGCGACTGGCAGATGTGAGGTCCAGTCGTGAAAAGACCATCGAGGCTATAGTCCTCGGGGAACATCTCAAATCATGGCCGTTATACAATGAAGGATTCTGCCACGCTGTCAGCCGTCTGGCGGATATCAAGTCAATAAAAAGTCCCAAATACGAGAAAATGTCGCCGGCCACAATCAACCGCCTAGAGCGAGCCCAGATTGACATTGAGCAAAGGCTCTTGACGGTCAAGAGTAAACTCGAAGACTTTGACTTTCCTTCCATGTTTGCTGGAATTGCCAACTCACAGACATCAACAGAAGCCAAGCTGATCCGGTTCAAGGAATGGAAGACCGCTTTTCTTGACTTCAGACGGTTCACTATGGCCTACCTACGCCGGAGATACGGTGCTTGGCCCCCCAAAGCATCCTCGAAGAAGAACAATTTCGAAGAAAGTGGGTTGAACCGGATATTACTTCAAGAGCTGTACAAAGACTTTACAGATTTGTACGACATCCTGGTAGACCGCTCAGCAATCACAACCCGAACTGTGGATATGGCACCAATGGCTGATGATGCCGAAACCAATGATCAAAACGAAACTATACAACATGCACTCCGGAGAGTCGAGAGTGAATATGACCGAGCGACTCCGCCCGTTATTCCCCCCATCCCGTTCGATACGCCGTTGATTCCCCAATTTTCGAACAGTTTCAACCGCCGCCATGTGGTCATATCTGACAAATCCGCAGCGCAGAGCAAGAGGCTCAAAGAGAACGAGATCAATGAAGTGCTTTTGGGAGCCTACAACCGTGAATCGATCGTGGCGAGCACCTTTATTCAGGACTTTTTCAGTTACGAACGCCAGCTTGGCCGAGGAAAAACCCTTGATCAGGTCGTAGATGCCCGGTGTGGGCAATGGCTCTTCATGTATGCAGTCCTCCAGGCTCTTCCAATGACCGTGGTGGACGCCAGGGATCTCAGGCATACAGAAGGTGTTGAGTATTTCCTGTGCGTCGCGCCAAGGGGAGGAAGGCCGTGGATGAAGGAAGATCAATCCACATCTCGAGCGTGGTACAATGTAGCCAGTGGCGGTGGCTATGTGAGTCTTCCAGCTGACCTGATCGACCACAGTGTTGAAGGGATCTATCGACGAAGTCATTGCTGGACAGCAGCCACAAGATGGTTGGAACAATCACCTCAAGAAGGGACGGTGGACGCATTCCATCGTGTGGATGGCAATGGCCTTCAGCAACGGCCGGTCAGCGCCGCTTCGCCATATGCGAGTCCTACACAATCGCCTTATGTCAGTCCAATCCACTCGCCACTGCTGCGGCCAACATCTCCTTCAGGCTCTGGGGAATTCCGCAATATCAGTCGAGACCGAAGTTCGGTCAATTTAGGCCTGGAAGTGATGGATACGCCGCCTTCTTATCGCAGCAACTCGCGCCCTCCTTCTACACTTAATCCGAACATCACCTTTGATGCAATTCTGGGTCCTGCTGACGAACCGGCAAAGGGCAAAGGGAAGAAAGGGAAGAAGTGAGACATATTACGATGAACACGATTTTGCATAGCGGGACTTGGTGCGAAACGTATAGCCGGTAGTGGATTCAACACTACTTTGGCCACTGAGGAAGCAGCATGAAACCAGCAGGCGTTTTGTGCTTTGCTGGCCGTTTTGATTTTGCTCTCTGGGGGACACTTCCCTTGTTCTCTTGTTCTGTACTTCATCCTGCACGTAATGCTTCATATGACAACATCCGAACATTTCCGTGACGTCAATCACGACTTGAATGCGGAGATGATTTTGTCTGGATGCCTGGATGCCTCATGCCCTCGTCGTTCACGCATTTCACATGAACCATACCTAAGTATCAACCGCGTCAAAGGTTTGTCGAATTCCTCACAGCAGTTATTGTGTTGAAGCACTGGTTAGGTACAGCCGCAAAAGCACGCACAGCCTCTGGCGCAACCCCATCTCGTGTAGATCCCAATTCCAGTTGGACGATACTCTTAATGAATCGCGGCGAAGATGGCTCGGTCGCGAAGCCGGTCAACCGAGAGCCAGATCCAGGCAAACTTGTCCAAAGGTAAGAATATTGGAAAAGGAATGAACACGGCTCCCTTGAATGGATCTTCGACGCCAGAAGTGATGCAAAGGTGGACGAAACTGACCCTTTCGACGAGCAGCTTCCTCACGCCCTCCCAATCCGATCCCAAGTCCGATCCCAAATCCGAAGAGAACCCACAACTGGTGGCTTATGACCGTAACCATGGGCCTATAAAACACCTCGACGCATCAACTCATCGCCTCACCATAAAATCCGATTCATCGCTGTCATCGGCCCCCAACTCCGAATATATCCTTCCCCAACCCCTCAACACTGTCCTTACACTCTCTGACCTGTCCGCTAAATTTGACCAGGTCAGTATCACCTGCGCGCTGCAATGTGCGGGCAACAGACGGCACGAGATGCGGGAGCGGCTGGGCGAGGTGAGTGGGTTGGATTGGGGAGATGGAGCAGCCATGAACGCCGAGTGGACGGGGATGCGAGTGAGGGACGTGTTGGTCCACGCTGGTCTGAGACCTCTGACACCGCGCAAGACCGACGACGACAGTGAGTCCGTAGACCACGATGAAGAATTCGAGTCTCAGTACGAGGGACTACATGTCCAGTTCGCGTGTACCACGCAACCCACCCAGGACGACGACTACTACGGCTCCTCGGTGCCACTGTTTCTCGCGCTCGACCCGGAGCGGGAATGTCTCCTGGCAACACACATGAACGGCGAAGCCTTGCCCCCGCGGCACGGCTTCCCCGTGCGCGCCGTCATCCCCGGCGTCATCGGCGCGCGGAGCGTCAAGTGGCTCGACTCCATCGTGGTCGCCGGCGAGGAGAGCACCAACCACTACCAGCGACGCGACTACAAGATTCTCCCGCCCGAGGCGGACAACAGCACAGAGACAGTGAACGAGGGAGGAAGGGACGAGTTGTGGGATCATGTCCCAGCCATGATTGACAACCCGATCAATTCCGTCGTGGCTGTGCCGGGGCGAGACCGTGACGTGGTTTCAAGGGATGGAAACGGATGCGTGCATGTCAAAGGATACGCTATCCCCAAGGGCAAACATGGTCCCGTGGAGACGAATACTAAACCCCCCCCCCCCCCCCCCCCCCCCCCCCCCCCCCCCC